GGCATTCTGATGGTGGGAAAGGTCTGAGGCTCACGGCTCTACCTCCAAAGCCCCAACCCCACCCTGGCAGCCCGTTCTGACTCCGAGGGACATGCAGAGGGCAGGGAGGGATGCTTCCCAGTGGAATCGTTAGCAGAGCGGGCGGCCTCCTCTGTCCTAGCAGGGCGGCTGATGGGTGCGAACCACTGACCTCAAGGCTAGTAACAACCTCACCCTTAACTCAGGGCTCCACAATCTACCCAAGGCAAATTAAAAACTCTCTTCTCTCCCGGAAAACGATGATGAGGTGAAGTGGGCCCAGTTGCTTCCCACAAAGCTCCAGGCTCCACTCTGGGTCTGTCACCGCTCCGCAGCTCCCCCCCTCCCCCCAACCTCCCAGCTTTGAGCTGCTCAAACTTCCCCCACAATAAGGGGACAGTCCCGCCTAGTCACACACACACACACCCTCTTCATGGTGGAAAATGGGGGGCCTCCTAGGACTCCCACCTTCCCCCCCGGGACCATCAAGACCTGGTTTAAGATCCAGGGGACGGTGGCCCTCAGCGCCGGAGTGTCCAATCTGGCAAAGCCAGGCCCAGAGCTCCAGCCACACCAGGGCTGGGAGTGCCCAGCCACTGAAAAGTCTCAGGGAAGGACACACAGGGAAGAGACACACATAAAGCGGGGTGGCTCATCCTCCAAAGTCCTCGGGCGGCTGGCTGGCCTACCCCCACCCCCACCCCCACCCGGGACGAATGACAAGGCAGCAGCAACCCCCGGGTCAGGGTCCTGTCGCCTTTATTGTCTGGACATGCACGTCAGAGGCTGCTGATGTCCAGCTGGGGGAGAAGCAGCAGGCAGTAAACCAGGAGCCAGAGGAAGAGAATGAAATACATCACATCTGGCTGTTGGACAAGTTGTGTCAGCGAGTCACTGGGCAGGTTCTGGTTGCCCGGCAACATGGCCTCCCCCGAGTGATTGGCCTTCCTGGAGATGGAAAGAGAGACACACAGTCACAAGGGGATCCCCAAAGCAGCGGGCTCCACACAGCTGCCCACACCCCCATCTGACTGCCCGGTGGTGTGTGGAGAAGCTCCCCCCCAGACACAGGGCACGGGGCATTCACAAATGCCCTCAGTAGGCAGCACCCAGAGCCCCTTCCTCACAGGGGCGTCCAGAGCCATGCGGGGGCAGCGTGACCTGTCCAAGGTCACAGGATCTACTGTGAGATGGAGCTGGACAGAGTCAGATGCGACTCCTCCCACTGCGCCCTGACATGCTTGGAGAGGCCCCCTCAGGGAGAATTAGCTACAGCCAGTCTGTCACCATGCCACCAGGAAGGGGCTGGACAATTACAGAACATCGCACCAGGGCCGTCAGAAAACAGCACTAAGCACCACAGTCCACCCCTAAAGGGCTGCTTTTGGATTTAGGGAAATAACCTTCAAAACAATGGTTTATTTCGGCCTGATGGATCATTTTCTTTTGTTTTACACAGTGCACCCAGACCTAGCCCACCCACCTCCAGTCAGGTGGCATGAACTCGTGTGTTTGTCTAGGGTGCCCTGGTGGCATAGGTGTTCGGCTGTGAGCCACAAGGTCAGCCATTGGAAACCACGAGCCTCTCCAATGGAGAAGAATGACGCTTTCTACTCCTGTCAAGAGTTGGTCTTGGAAATGCACAGGGTCAGTTCTACCCTGTCCTTTTGGGGCCAGGAGGAGTCAGACTTGGCAGTGGGCTTGGGTTTTGCTGGTAGGTGAGGAGGAAGCCCACAGGCTGTCGTGTGGTGAGGGCCGACAGGAGTGGGAGCCGTAATCTGGTAGGAAGGGGGTGGTGAGGGGCCCAGGCTTGCGGCTTGCGTGTCTGGAAGCTTCCTTGGGCCGGTGTCTGCGAGTGTGGCGGGCAGGATGTGGTGAGGAGTGGAGTCCAGGGGGATTAAACACTTGCCACGGATGACTTAATCTGCATATGCAGAACACGAATAACCGGCTGAGACCCTTCCTCTTGCTGGACGCTGCTTTTAGGACAAAGGTCAGCCCCGTTCTTTGTTTTACACTGTTGTTGGGGGCCCTGGTGGCTTAGGGGGTTCCATGTGGGCTGTGACCCACAAGGTCCAGGGTTCGAAACCACCAGCCACTCCACAGGAGAAAGGGCTTTCTCCTCCCACAAACAGTGACAGTCTCTGAAACTCACAGAGAGCTGGGATTGGCTCGAAGGCAGGGAGTCTGTGTCCCTTTGGTTGCTGGACACCATCTCCTGGCAGTCCCTGGTACGCAGAATAAACTGCAGGGTATCCAAGTCTGGGCGTCTCTAAACACCGGGAAGCCTGTGCTTCCCTGGTAGGGACCCCAGCACTGGGTCTCTGAATGTAGTTTCTGGGAGGGTCTGAACCAACAACCTTGGGGCTAATGCTTCACCACAAAAGCTTGAAATGAAGAAGGCACGGGGCTTTTCTTCGCTCTGCAGGTTCTGTGTTCAAAGATCCTAACTCTTAAAACGTACCAGTCTTATTTCCCTAGGTCAGGGTTCAGGAGCCCCAGTGGCTCCTCTGAGGGAAAGAGGAGACGTTTTGCTCCCATAAAGATTTACACCCTCACAAACAGCCCACAGGGCTGCCCAGTTCTACTCTAGCCAGTGGGGCCACACGAGGAGCCGGGATCATCTTGGCAGTGTGGCCAGATGCTCTGTAGAGGCAAGGACGGCAAGGCCTCATCTCGTGCACTTTGGACATGTTGTCCTGGAGGAGGACATCATGCTTGGGAAAGTGGAGGGTCAGCGAAAGAGAGGGAGACCTTCGACGAGACAGACTGACAGCACTTTCAGCAGCGGGCTTCCAAGAACAGCCGTGGTGAGGCTGGCCCAAGATGGGGCAGGGCTCTGTTCTGCTGTGCTGAGTCAGAACCGCTTGGAGGGCACCTAACAACATCGTCATCGTCGTCAACATCATCACCATCAGGGCCCATTGGGAAGGTGACCTCCCATTTCCATGTCGTCCTAGGAGGGAAGCTCCTCTGCCCTTGGCTGCATATGGGGGAGGGTGGTGTCCTGGGACCACACCCCTGGGTGCTGGTGACAGCCCCAACAGGGGCATTTAAATTCCAGTCATTCACAGCCTTGGGGGCTACAGGAAATATGTACAAGCGGAACAAAGGGCAGGGACTCCAGGGATGACATTTCAGAACTGCCGGTTCGATTTGGGGAGGTTCCCACCCCCCAATCTAGTTTCCTAGGGTTCTGCAGGGGCAGGTCTACAGGCCACACGTTAGCAGGACGGGGTACTTTCATGGGCATCCTGGCATGCTTGCACTCCCTCTTCATGTCTGCTCTGATGCCATAGAACTGTAAAATCAGCTCAGTGAGCCTCTGAGAGCCAAACCTACAGTGGCAACAGAAAGGACAAGGTCAGACACGGTGGCCCGCCGGCACCCTGGCTGCTGCGGCTCTGGCCAGCCCTGGTGTACCCCTCCCTCCCCGCCGTGTGTGTCTGGGGCCACCCAGACCCCGAGGAGTCATATCTCAGCGTCCTGCTTTGCTCCCCCCATCTCCTCATCCCTCCCCCCATACTCTACCTGCAAACTTCTGAGACGGAAGAGCCCAGCCCTAGCTTGGCGGCCATGCAAAAATGATTCTAGGGCCATAAGGTCTTTTTAGAGACAAATGGAACCCCCACGAGCGGAACCCTCCCCTTGAAAAACGATCCCTTCAACATCAGGTCCACGAGTATGGCCCCCAAGAGCCGCCCGCCCATGGCTCCTGATCTACCCAGTCCTCCAGAACAGGCATTTCCTTGGACTGTACCCCACACCGTCCAGAGGGGCACTGGTGGCGCAGGGGGTGGGTGAGGTGTGTGGCCCCTAACTTCAGGCTCAGCAGTTCGAAACCACTAGCCGCTCCTCAGGAGGAGGAGGAAGCTTTTCTGCCCCCGTCAAGAGCTACAGTCCTGGAGACTCGCCCGGACCGTCCTACCCTCTGTTGTAGGGTTGCTTTAAGTCGGAACTGACTTGGCGGCAGGGAGTTTTGAGACACCCCTCTCCACCCCCAAGATCAGCAGTGGAGTCATCCAAAGCATCGTTTGAGAGTCGCCCCCCCCCCTCCCGGCTGCCCCCCACCCAGTTGAAAGAGAAGAGAGAGGGTCCCGAGCCGCAGGGAAGCACCCACCGTGTGCTTATTCGGTTCCTCCGGTCGTCCAGCTCAGCAACACTCCTCAACTGAACATAGCTAAAATGATCCTACAGTGAAATTTATAAACAAACCCCCCGCAACCCAATTAGTAAAGATGGAATCTCTGAAACAGAAAACAAAACGATTTTAAACACAGAAAGCCGGGCGCGACACGCTTTGCGCGAGATTCCGAGCTGCTGAACAAGAGAGGTTACTCCAGGGGCCTCCCAGGACCGCCCGCCCCGCCCACTCCACCACCACCCTCCGCCCCCCCTCCCCGCACCCCCACTGGGCCCCACCTCTGAGCTGCAAAGCCCCCCAGCCCTGGGAACCGGGATTATGAGCTCCCAGGGACACTGGTTGGATACGGGTCCCCTCTGACTGCCTGGGAGCCCCTCTCTAGCTAGTGACAGGATCTTTCTGGGCTTAGGGTGGGGGCTTGGGTGCTGGGTGTTTTGTTGTTATTTGTAACAAAGAGGCCTGTTGGCTTTGAAACTGTCACTTTATTTAGATCCCTTAGTGGCCTCCAAGTGGACATCCGCCTGGACTGTAAACAAGGTTTCAATGTGCTTGTCTCATATCCCAAAGGGTAGCTGCTGCCCGCCAGAGATTTCAAAGCCCTGGGCTGGGAGGGGGAAGGACGGAAGCGAAGCGGTTAGCAGGGTGGGGAGGAAGAAAGCCACATACTAACCGATTCCAAGGACCTATTAGTATGTCGCCGTATGTAAATGCTGGAGTCACTGTGGCTAGTCCTGAAAAGACAAACACAGGCTTTGAATGGCTGCCGCGGGCAGGGAGCTCGCCACCTGGCACCTGGAGTCTTCCCCAGCGGCTGCTCCGGCCGCCAATCATTTCAGACCCAGCGGCAGAAATGAGAACACCCACCCCACGTGGCCACTGACCAACAGCAGAATGTGCAGGTCTAGGGAGAAAAGGCATCAGGCCGACACTGGAACTAGGAAGCCAATGCCAAACCCCAAGCCCATGGTGACCCTGCGGGGCAGGGAGGGACTGTTCCCCAGGGTTTCCAAGGCTGCACCCCCTTTCCCGGAGCAGGCAGCCTCGGCTTTCTCCGGTGGAGCAGCTGGGCTTGAACCACCGAACTTGCAGTTAGTAGCCCCATGTTGCCATCAAGGATCTTAGTCTTCAAGAAAAACCTCCGATTTCGGGCAGGCGGGGACCTTTTGAGACGTATCTTACAGTCTTGGTATTCACTGGTATTCACGCTGAAATCAGACCTGGGCCTCCCCCAGCAGCTGGACTCCCTTTCCAGTGCTCACTCCCCTGCCCAGTGCTGCCCTCTGAATGCCCACATGCGGGCACACCACTTCAGCTCCTTTTGAACCGGAGAAGGCTGACTTTCTGGTCATCTCCAAGACCGAAGTGGAACGTGCTCCAGTTTGTCCGACAGGTGGCTTGCCCAGGTGTGGGGGTGAAAGGCACCCAGAGTCCTAGCACCCATTCTGGCATCCCTGCTGACCAGCTGACCAAACCCTGATATCCTGGGCCACTTTACCCCATCGGTTAGTATCCCTACCCGCCTGCTCCCTAGAGGTGGTGGTGACCGCTGGTGAACATGTCTGGTTGCGTGTGGGGTCCGGCACGCTGGTGTGCCCTGAACCACAAGTGTCTCCTCCTCAAGGCAGGCAGGCAGAATGTCACCCTGGGGAAAGCCCCTGGACTCGAGACTCTATTTCAGGGGTGTTCTTGCCCTTGAGCTGGCGTCGGTGTTGAGAAGCAAAGATGTGACTCTGAGGAGTCAGCTGCGCCTGACCCCAAACGGGGTATTTTTAACTGCCTCCTGGGTGTTGAATAAGGAAGACGACCTTAGACAAAGACTGCCTAAAGGGCAAACATCTGTCTTGAATCACAGCCGGAAGTCTCCGTAGAGGCAAGGATGGTGAAGACTGGTGCCAGGGACTTTGAACACATGGTCAGGAGACACCAGTGGCTGGCGGAGGACACCCTGCTTGGCAGAGTGGTAGCGTGGCCGGGCAGTGATAAAGAGATGCCCCGACACCGTGGCTGCCACAGTGGGCACCGCTGCAAGAATGGCACAGGACTGGGTGGTGTTTGGTTCTGTGGTACACAGAGCTGACTCCAGGGCACCCAGCAGCCGGGTCCACTCCCACCTGGCCCAGGGGCACCATCTGTGAGCCAACCATTGTGCTGGGCCCACGGTCAACAAGAGCCCTTGTCCTCAAGGCAGAGCCCCGCGTGCGGCCCGCACTGTGCTCCTTCAGGGTTCCTGGGGCCCCGCGGTGGCCCCTGCAAGAGTGGACCCTCACACTCTGGTAGACCAGGTGGAGCTTGTCCTGCTTCCATCCAGCCTGTGAGCTCCGAGGGGGCAGCCCCGTGCCTGACCTTTGTCCCATTCCCCGAGGACCCCAGCTCCTTCACTTCAAACTCCACAGCCATCGAGTTGATTCTGAATCTCTAGGACCGGGCAGGGCTGCGCCTGTGGACTTTGGAAACTGTAGCTCTTGATGGGAGGAGAGAGCCTCATCTTTCTCCCAAGAGCATTTGGCGGTTTTGAACTGCTGACCATGTAGGAAGCAGCCCAATGCCTAACTGCCATCCCACCAGGGCTCCTCCATCACCCAAGGGATGCTTCCAGAATACTGGAGCAAAGCGGAGTGGCTCAGCACATGGCTGGTGGCCCCAGCCCAAGGTATGGCGCAGGGTTGGCTGGCCCTACCCATTTGTCCACAGGGAGGACAGTCCACCCAGGTACAGATGCCTGCTGGGCAGGGAGGGTCTTGGGAATGTAGTAGCAGCAATTTCTGTGGGGCCTGTCCATCGCCTCCCCTCTCCGCCCCATCTTCTCTGCCTTTGTCTCCCCCAGTCCCAGGCCTGGGAGGAAAGCAGAGTGTAGTGGCCACCTGGCTCCCTCCGGCTCCTCCCCCATCTCTCTGCTCGGCCAGCCCCGATCTCCCCCTGTGGCCAGCGTTACCGGCTGTCACCATCACAGGGAGTGATGGTTTATGGGAAGAATGGGGACCCTGGCGGGGGTAGGGATGGGGACACAGAGGGAGCGCTTGGTACACAGGGTCCCCACCCAGGGCCTGTTGACATTCAGAGTTCATATGCCACCCAGGGACAATCCAACTCATCCGGTGGCCATGCAGTGACCCAGCTGCGGCGTGTGACTGGCCTCCCCTACATCCGCTCAAGCCCTGGGACCTCCTGCCTGCCTGCCTCCCACCCAGATCCATCAACCCTGAACCGGTTGTGCGAGGGAAGCCACGGAGCGTCCGACATCGCTTCACCAGGCGTAAAGGGCCACCGCCAGGTGCAGGTGCCCAGGCCACCTATGGCCACATAGGATGACTTCCTATGGAGCCCGCCACAGGGCTGTGGGGCTGGGGCGGTGATGGGGCCATCACACGCCTGCCAATTTCCCCACCTCGGCCACCCTGCTGCTCCTGGGAGAGGCCATGGGGGAGGGGTGGGTGGGTGAGTGGACCCCAGGCACACAAGAATTGAAGGCATCGCTCGAGTACGGGGTGAGCCCAGGCTGGGAAGGTGTGATCTCATACCTGGAGGGGATTTTATGGTCCGGAGGGTCTTCGTCCAGCTCGTCGGAGGAGCGGATGGCGCCGGGCGCCAGGAACACGGAACTTTCCACGTGGTTCATGTGCTTCCTCTTCTCCTTCTTTTTACTGCTGACCGGTTCAGCCGCTGCCCTGCCCTCCACGGCCTCACCCGCCACGCTTGCTGAGTGTAGAGGTTCCTGGGACTTAAGACAAAACCACCACACGCATCAGCACCGTGTGCCGCGGTGGGCCAGGGACAGCCAGCTGGCCAGCCGTGGCCCGTCTTAACCCCGAGGCCCAGCAGTGTGTCCCTCCCGCCCTGCCCCTCCCACGGCCCCTGCAGCGCCTGCGGGAGTCAAGGTCGCGGGAGTCAAGGTCGCGTGCACCCACCAGATCCGTCTTTCTCGCTCTGAGCCCGAGCCCTGGCCCACGTCTGCAGCGGCAGGCACGCTGTGGGTCAGTTTGTGCCAGCCAGTGGGCTCTGGCCCCTGGCGACGCCGCGAGGAGTAGGAGAGAACTGCCCTCCCCAGAGCTTTTGGGGCAGTGACCTCTCGGAAGCAGATCACCAGGCCTTACGTCCAAGGCACGTCAGGGTGGGTCTGTGTCGGTGCAGCGCCCTCTGCGCCACCCGGGGACCCCATCGCACTGGACAGCATCGGTCTCTTCCCACTCCATCAGGGACTGTCAAAAAGTTCGTGGGGGTGGGGGTGGGGAGAAATGCCATTCCTTTTCTAAATGTCTGTCTGTCGGAAACTAGCTTGCGATCCACGGAAGAACGGGAGTCAGTGTCAGTTTTAGCTCCCTTCTTTGATAACCGCTCGGGTGTTGGGTCTGATGGGGGAGGGGGCTGGAGGGGCTGTGACCACTTTCGTCGTGATTTCCCGACATCTTCGTGGGACACAACAGGAGGAGGAAAGCACACCGTTTGGGGCTGCGCGACCCACAGCGACCTGCGCGTTCCGTTTTCCCAGGAATTTTCTGACGCACCCTGGCACCTCGGCATTCCACACAGAGGACCGCTGTCTCAGGGCAGTGACCACAAGGAAGAAGACAACGTTCTGGAATTGGATATGGTGGGAACCGCAGCGGTTTGTCCTGAGAGGACTCAGCCGTCTGACACGGGGTGAAGTGCTAATAAAACTGTTTGGGCGAAACAGCAACGGACATCTCTCGAAGGGGTCAGGTGGGGTGGGCACGGGGGACGCGCACAGGCAGTCCCCAGCTTGGCGAGGTGCACAGAAAGGCAGCCATGCGCCCTGTGGGTGGCGTCCGTCATGGGCACTAGCTGACCACTGTGTCCACAGCAGGTGGTGCGCCACTGCCAGGGCTCCCGAGAGAAACCCAGGAGGCCGAGGTCAGCGGGACCACCACCCAGCGATTCCTCTGGGTCAGTGTTTCCCAAAGTGGTGACCCCATCCCCCTGGGGGCAGTCCTGGAATGACCCACGGGGGCTGTAAAGACCACTGCCTCCACTTGACCCTGGATGACCGGCTTTCACTTGCCAGTGGAGGAGGGGCAAAGGGGGCATCAGCCAAACAAGTTTGGCCTCCTGTTTCAGAGGCTGGAAGGACCCACTCAGCAGGTGTGGGGGTCCGAGGCTAGTGGGGCCTGACGCAGACCCCCTGGGGACAGGGTGCTGAGCACTCTGGAACACCAGCCCCAGAAGGATGCTGCCCATCGGGGGTGGGGAGATGAGGAGGGGGCTATATTTGAAAGGCTGGAAGCAGCAGCAAGTTGTTCATTTTGAGTCTCCTTGGCTGTTCCTACCCCCAGCCCCCACCCCACCTCCTTTTAGGGAAAGGACATGCAGTGGTGAAGCCCTTGGCAGTTCACCGAAGGCTGGCGGTCCAAACCGCGAGCTGGTCTGTGGGAGAGAGAGGGGCGTTCTGCTCCTGTGAAGGTCACAATCCTGGACACCCCAGGGGGACGTTTTCTCCCCTCTACAGTCACAGTGAGTCCCATGGGACCCCACGCAGTGTCTGCGGGCCAGAGGAGAGCCAGGTCCCCAAGATGTGCTCCCCGAGTGAGTCCTGCCCTCTGACGTCCTGGGACATGGCTCGCAGCCCACCCCCGTATGCGGGGTGGCGCCACCGGATGCAGGCTGGGGCTCCACCTGAGCCGTACCACCCCTAGAGTCTGGGACCAGTGGGAGGATGCTGGCTGGACAGGTGGGGCTGCAGAACCGGCGCCCTGTCATGGGACACGAGGAGCATTGAGGCCCGGGTCCCAATCTAAAGGCACCACACCTCAGCCCTTTCTGCAGGTGTCCATGGGGCTTCAAGGGGTCCATGGTGGATCAGCAGCAGAGCCTTCTCCTCCAGGCTCCCAGCTCCCCAGCTTCAGGACACCCCCTCGCCCCCTCCTTCCTGGGACAGCCTGCCTCCATCTCCTCCCAGTTCCTTGGCTGAGCACCTTGCTGGCCTCCAACACGGCCCTCGGGGCTGGCCTTTCTGTGGTGTGTGGCCGGCAGTGCCTGGCGCCCGGCTGTGGGTGCAGTGGGTGAAGAGCTGTCCTGGGCCAGACCCAGGTCTCTCTGCTGCCCAGCTTTCTCCCTCTGGACTGTGCCCAGTGGTGTGAGCGTGTAGTCGGTACAGTCTGAGTTCTGCCTCTAGGACTTGGGAAGCGAAGGTAGGCTCTCATTACTGAGGCTCCTGCAGGGGGATCCCTCAGGTCCCCCTGGGGTATTGGCCGAGACTCCCACCCACCCCTACACTCAGGCAGCTTCTCTTTAAGGGGCTAGGGGCTCCGATGACCTGGGAAAGGAGCGCCCAGGGTGTGCCGGTCCTTCTTGCTCTCCGGACACAATGCACTCCAAGCCGGGGGGACTGGGCCCCAGTGCTCGCTGGTCCAGGGCGTCAACGCTGAAGTGGCAGCAAAGGCACGGGGTCTCCAGCATTGCATGGTGGAGGTGTGTGTGTGTGTGTGTGTGTGTGTGTGTGTGTGTGTGTGTGTGGTGATTCACTGAGTGCCTGCTCAGTGTTAAGGCCGATGCTACCATCCTGGCTTCCCCCTCCAGTGTGATCCACCAGTGGGGGACCCAGGGCTCCCCAGTGAAGGAGGAACACACTTTCTGGGGACCAAGCCTGTACTTACCGGTGCAGGAGAGTGAGCACGTCCTTATGAGTGCACCCCGGATATCAGGTT